GCCCGATTCAAACGGTAGTCGGTAAAGGCTCATCAAACCCGTTGAGGGCTGGGGGTTTGTCAAAAATCCTATAAATGCGAGAGTCACTGACGCATCAGCTTCATTAGTTGGTCTCATGACTTGAGCATCCTACGACATTCGAAACCCTAGGGTCAACGTCGGTCAAACGCGTAACCCTAGGTCAACGCCAGTCAACGCGTTGCGATCAAAAAGTCAATGTACGACATTCGAAACCCTAGGGTCAACGCCGGTCAACGCGTAACCTTAGGTCAACGCCAGGCAACGCGTTGCGATCAAAAGTCAACGTACGACATTCGAAACCCTAGGGTCAACGCCGGTCAACGCGTAACCCTAGGTCAACGCTATTCAACACGTGGCAATCAAAAAGTCAGCGTACGACGTTTAAAACCCTAAGGTCAACGCCGGTCAAAGCGTAACCCTAGGTCAACGCCAATCAATGCGTTGCAATGAAAGAATCAATACTCCGAAAAGTATACGAGTATAAACTGCTTCTTAAATACTCCAATAAGGTATATGAGTATAAACTATTCCCTATTTTTGGTTGAGAAGTTCCTGGAGAATATTCTTCATAAATATTCTTAAGGATAACTCAACAACACAACGCCGAACAACACGTTGTAAATGATGATCCAACACCGACGACCGATGGTCAATTCTATGTTGAAACAACCAACTCGAGCTAAAAAGTTAGAAAAGCAAGAATCGACTTCAAATTCAAAATTCCAACAGACGGTCAGACAATAAATGCAGCACCGGGACCCTTACAGACATTCGACAAAGCACCGAACAGCCTGGAGGACTGAAGGAATCAAGGATGGAAGCCACTCCAAATATCCCGTCGTATCAATCGAAGGATGGGACAATCATATCCAAAGTATTCCAGACTCTTCTATAAAAGAACGAGACTGAAATACTTTGGAGGGGGTATCTGTAGGCGTATAAAATTGCTTATAAGTCCCTTAGCTCAGCTCGGCGCAAACCGACAAACCAACGAGGCAACGAGATTGACTAATCGCACGCAAGCAACGGAATACGTCCATTCGCGTGCGGGATCAAGCCAAGTGTTCGAAGAGTCAACGAGTCATCCAACCGAGAGCGGACTCGAACGAATCACGATCGAATCAAGATCGGTTTCGGACTCGAACTCAGAAGTGGATTTACTGCCAAATCAGGAATCCGACTTACTGCCAAATCAGGAATCAAATCAGAGTCTGGATCAACCGAATCACGGACAGAACCAAAGGCGGAAAACACCAAAACCACCACCTAGAGGGGCTCGGCCGAAGCCGAGCCAACTTCAGGTGGCTCGGCCCAAGCCGAGCCACCTCAAGGTGGCTCGGGCCGAGCCACCCTGAGGTGGCTCGGCCCAGTGCCGGCCACCCAGAGGTGGCCGACACTGTTCCGTGCGCGGGCACAGTAAAGGGTGCCTATAAATAGGCCACTTGGTTCATTTGTTCAGGGGTTGGAAATTTTGGAGGCGAAGCTCTGCCGGATTCAAGACTCGAAACTTAAAAAAGATTGGAGCTTTGGGACTTCGGGGACTCACTCTTCCAGATCAGGTGCTCAGCGATCGTCAACGCCAAAAAAGGCAGGTGTTCGAGAGGACGGATCTCAGATCTACGCAGACGTACTCCGGATCTAAGCTTGGTCTTAGATCCCGAGACTTGAACGATTGTTTCCTTGGTGAATCAATCCTCCCCGGCTATTATTTCCTTTGTGGAATAATACCCGTCGTACTGCTTAGATCTGATCGGATCTAGATCTCGCGGTGGTCCATGGATAAACCCCGGCGCAGGCAAAGAACCCACACAAAGCAAGAGACCGCAAAACAGGATCTTGCGATTCGTTCGACAAATAAGGAGAAAGTTGTAATTTTCTTTATTTCTTGTGTTATTTGATTTTCGTTGTAACCGGATCTAAAAAAAGACCGGATCTTTGTAATCGATAAACTATTACAAGAATTTGCAATGGAATCAATGATGAAGAAAACAACGATTTTCACCGCGAACAATACCATCGCATACATCAAGCTCCTAGCCGTGCTCGCATATGGAGTCTTCGATATCAACTCTCGATCTTCAACTGACTTCGATAAAAGATCAGCTGAAAGCTTCAAATGGGCTCCTAATGGTACACTAACTGACTTCGTATCCATGCTAACATGAAATCGCTGTAGAACCTTCTTCAAATAAGCCACCTGTGTCAAATAAATTTTTCCCTTCTTCTTTTCTCTGTCGATCTCCATCCCTAAAATACGCTTCGCCATACCCAAATCCTTCATCTCAAACTCCTTTGAAAGTTGTGCTTTCAACTCATCTATAGCAGATCTGGAAATAAAGACAACCAACATATCATCGACATAAAGTAACAAATAGATGTACGCACCTCCTTTGAACTTACGAAAATATACGCAAGGATCAAACTGGCTCCGAGTATATGAATGACCAATCATAAAACCATCGAATCGTCTATACCACTGTCAAGGAGACTGCTTCAAACCGTATAGCGATTTCTTCAATCTGCAAACCAATTTTTCTTTCCCTGTAGCTCGGAATCACAATGGCTGAGTCATATATATTTCTTATTCAAGATCGCCATGAAGAAATACCGTCGTTACGTCCAACTGATCTAACTCCAAATCATACTGTGCCACCAAAGCTAGCAAAATCCGAATCGAAGAATGTTTTACCACTGGAGAGAAAACCTCATTATAATCTATTCCTTCCTCCTGTGCATAGCCCTTCACAATCAACCTAGTCTTGAACCTCAATGGAGTGCCCTCAATGTCCTCCTTCTTCGTGTATACCCACTTGCAACCAATTGACTTTCGCCCCTTTGGAAGCTCAACAAGCTCCCATGTATCATTCTTATGAAGAGACTCCATCAGCCTCCGAACTCTGCTCGGCCTCTCTAAATGTAGTAGGCACCATCTCATCGATACTCTCCATTGGAAGTGCATACGCAACTGTGTCGGTATACCGTGCTGGCATCCGTATGTCTCTCCTCTGTCTCCGAACCGTAATAAAATCCCGAACATGGACCGTCGGTCCCTGATCCTGCACATCAGTACCCGTATCCTCTGTGTCACCGTCGTGCTCGCCTGGCGTCACCTCAGTCGGCACTCTAATGGATACTATACCATCTGAACAATGTGGAGTTGCATCGATCTCCACCACCTGCGGTATCTCCTCTGTCGTGTCGCTCTCTACCTGATGAGAGCTGGGAAGCTTTAAGATAGAAGCCTCATCGAACATGATGTCTCTACTCAGTTTAATCTTCCTATCAACTGGATCCCATAGCTTGTATCCCTTGACACCACGCTTGAATCCTACAAATATGGTCTTCCTAGCTCGAGGTTCTAATTTACCCTTGACACCACGCTTGAATCCTACAAATATGGTCTTCCTAGCTCGAGGTTCTAATTTATCTGTTCTCACATGATAAAATGTCCTACAAATATGGTCTTCCTAGCTCGAGGTTCTAATTTATCTGTTCTCACATGATAAAATGCAGGGCAGCCGAATACCTTGAGCTGGTCATAATCGTGTGCTGGTTCTCCCGACCACATCTCCATAGGGGTCTTCCCCTCAATCGCAGATGAAGATAACCTATTAATGAGGTGGCTCGCATATGTAAGTGCCTCAGCCCAAAAGATCTTCTCCAAACCACTCTGCGATAATAAACATCGAACCTTCTCCAGCAAAGACTGATTTAGCCTCTCTGCCACCCCATTCTGCTGTTGTGTATGACTAACCGTGAAGTGTCTCTCTATGCCCTCGTCTTGACATAGCTGCAGAAATGGGTGTGATGTGTACTCGTCGCCGTTGTCGGATCGTAACGTCTTTATCTTTCTCCCAATCTGCAGTTCCAACCTCTTCTTCCACTCCACGAATATATCTAGGAGTTCACTCTTCTTTGCCATAATGTACACCCAACATCGCCTAGAATAGTCATCAACGAACGTGACCAACCAATGTCGACCACCAAGTGATGTAGTCTTGGTGGGACCCTAAAATTCTGTGTGCACATAGTCCATAATGCCTCTCGTCTGATGAATGACTGTCCCGAATTTCACCTTCGTCTTTTTACCAAGTACACAGTGCTCACACAACTCCACTTTACCACTCTGAGCGTCAATGAAGATGCGGAAAGCCTGAGCCCAGAACAGATAGTTTTTACCATTCAATTTTATTATAGTCCCCAAGACTACCTTGGGCGCAGAAGTCTGACCAGCTTACCATTCAATTTTATTATAGTCCCCAAGACTACCTTGGGCGCAGAAGTCTGACCAGCAGCAGCAGAGGGAGATGTAGAAGAGGAGGACTACCTTGGGCGCAGAAGTCTGACCAGCAGCAGCAGAGGGAGATGTAGAAGAGGAGGAGAGATCTGTTCCCAGCATTGTTGCACAATAGTGGTAGGCAGGTAGTAGTCAAATAGCCAGGGCAGTAGTAGAGATCTGTTCTTTAAACATAGACTAAGAGCAGATCAAAAAATAGGCAGTAGTAGATGACCAAATCGGGTCATATGTGGCCTCGAATCACCTATTCAAGACCATGGAAAAAAGGACAAAACAAACCCTAAATTAAAATCCAATAAAAAGTCCGAGTCCAAATCAACAATCCTCAACCAATAAACCCCCCTTGCTTGGAGAAAGCTGGACCTCCAATTTTGATCTGATACCATGTAGAAAGAGATAATTGAGAGAGCAAAACCCTAACTTAATTAATTTATTCAGATACTAGAGAGATATATATATAGTCATACAAATAGGCGTATGGTTAACGGGTCACAACCCATTAACCCAATACCCAATAGACTTAATCTAACACGACAAAACTAATAACTACACAATGTAACCTCACAATATGCAGACCGAAAAAAGGTTAATGATAAATTAGGCACACACAGAAATTGCCCTAACAGACGGGGGGGGGGGGGGGGGAGCGAATCAATCCCAGCATCAAGAAAAGAGCGATGGCCAGAGAAAATATAATAAATAATAAGACAAAAATACAAGAAACATATTCGAGAGTGAACCACTGAACTCATTGTAGCCTGACGATGTTACCTATACCTTCTTTTTTTTACACCTAACTTTTGTGCAAAACTTGTCCTCAATGCCAAACAGAACCCCTCAGAGAATCAAAGATCAAAGAAAGTATCTGTACAAAGAACAACAAAATTTTTCATCGGCGCATCATTGAGTTCTGGCCTTCCAATCTTTGATTGCTGAAAGAAGTGACTGATTAGTTATGAGATTTGTGTTCGGCAACTTCATATTTGTCAATGGAGACTTATCATTCATTCTGCACCATCTCTCGATGGCTCGACGCTCATATGTGTACCCATCTGATGCAACACAAGGATCTTCCATCACCTCCTGCGTGAATAAAATCAATACTTTAGATCCGTTAAAGAGTATAAAATTATGAGCTCTTAACTCACATAACACCTTCTACGTTTTGTAAAATGAAAAAGACTCGTACCATTGCCGTCCCATTGCAACCGAGGTTCTAATCTTATTGTATGCACATTTTTAAATCAAAGTTATAAAAAAAATAAGGCCACTGCGAAAACAGGCCCGTGTTCGGCTAATGAGAAGAGTTTTCAATCTACAAGGGCACATTAAAAATTATACCCTCAAATCTTTATTACAATTTCGGATGTTAAGAGATTGTTTGGTCTGTCGCGATTATAAATTCAGCAAATGTTGCAAGCAGAAATTGCTTGTTGCAGTAAGAAATTAACCTCAATCCGTAGTTTACATACTTGCATATTCATTGTGGGAAATGTATTTTCAAATCCAATGTTTGGTTTAGTTGTAAACAGAGTAAAATTGACCCATGCGATGCTGCGATATCCGTGTGAAAAAAGCCAAACAATAACTAAATATTTGGACTATACATCTAACCACCCAACAAAAATATAGCAAGTTAAAACAAAATATAACAACTTACATCCATATCAAATTGCTAACATACAAAGAAGGTTTAAAAAATTCTTTCAAGTGTGTTGGATCTAAGGTGATTTAGAAAGTGAGTGGGTCTAAAAGTAAATAGTGGTAAAACTTTCAGTTTATAGGTAGAAACTCTTTTTGAGGAGGGGGTTTTAAGAATAAATGAGGCAGGGAGGATAAAACTTCGGAGGGGGGACG